ATTTCACTTTCAAAGCATCGTTCATTATTTAAATAATTTCAAATATCAGTATTCAACGTTTTGTTTAATATATCAAAACATTATTTATGCATTTATAATTGCAGGTTAAATGCATTCATGTTCTGCACTAAACGGTAGTGTGTAAATACATTTAAATGCCACTTCAGATGCAGCTTCAGTGTTTCCTCTGCATTGCAAAGATGAATTTTATTGATACTGATTTCATTTGCTTGGTAACAGCCCAAATGTCTTAATATTCTAATTCACTGATTAAATGTAAGAATTTGACTCAAAAGATAATGCACACTTTTAGAAAAAATTGCTTTTTTAAAGGTAAAAATGCCCATAAAAGGTAAAAATCAGTTTAAACTTATTGGAAAAGATTCATTTCTATCAGAGTGAACTGACCACCACACAGAATATGAAGAATATAAAAAACTTTAGGAGTCAGCTGTCCACGGTAGTCCTTAAGATACCAGAACAATAACACACTCAGCAAAATATCGTCTAAGTATCGTTATCGATAAAATCCAAGAAAATATTGAGATATTATTTTTTGTCAATATAGCACACCCCTACCCAAGAGCAGGGGTCATCAACCATTTGTTCATGAAGTGCCATTTTGAATTTTCTTAGTTAATCTCTGTGATCTTGCATGTCCCATGTATTAGGAATGTATCAGGGCTCTGGGCCGTAATAAGCCTCACACTCCATTCAGAGCGAGCAAGCTCACACAGGTCCTCAGAGACTCATTCATCGGTGAGAACTCCAGGACATGCATGGTAAGTTTGATTAAGCACGCTTTCTCCAACACTAGGATTTGGCTAAGTTTACCTTTGCCTGTTTGCACAGCTGTAATTGTGACTGTTGTCTGCATAGATCGCCACCATTTCTCCTGGCATGGCCTCCTGTGAGAACACGCTGAACACTCTGAGATATGCCAACAGGTGAGGACATGGCGCTGTGTTGTGCTTTTATGAAAACAGAAGTTGAGTAGAACTCTTGCTTCCAGCTATTTTTTTCCTTTTGAAGAGATTTTAAATACCACTCTCAGATTTTTGCCTCCAATGTTTTTAAAAAAAAAAAATCTCAGTAAAGTTGTTGTATTTACCAATGCAAGTGCCAATGGGGAAAAAGTGTTGTAACTGTACATCTCTCCTGATTGGCTGTGCTCTTCTCTCTCTGACTTGCTGTTTTTCTCTGTTCTGTCTTGACTGTCTTCAGAGTAAAGGAGTTTGGGATTAGCCCCTCTGACATCCCCTTCTCTCAGGGAGGAGGAAGTCGCTCTGAACCCTCTCCTACCTATGAGTATGAGCACATGTCTATGCAGCTTCCCACCTTATTCTTAGTCAGATACACTGCAGCAGTGTTGGGGACTAACTAAAACTAGTGATAGAAGTTACTAACATTTTTTTAGTAGCGTAATAGTAGCCAAACTCTTTTCAAAATCTAGCTTTTTCATGAACAAGCATTTTCCCCCTCTCAACAAGCAGTGAAAAAAGACAAACCCCTAAATCACACTCTGCACTGTAGAGTCTTATGCCCTATTCACACCAAGAACAATAATGATAACTATATTAGCGTCCACAACAACGCATGATAACGTTCTGTTTGTTATAAGCATGCACTGCTGTTCTGTCGTCTGCCACTTTAAATGCTCAAACTTTTTTAAGCAGGGTGGATTCTGATTGGCTGTCAATGTTTTTATCATACATCAGCTAGAAGAAATCTTTGGGACATTTAATTTTAGCAAATCACTTTATTGTGAGTAGATGTCAAAAGTATCACTCCTTCAAAAATGGCATTGAGTATTGTCACATTTCACTTATTTGTGATCGACTACTAAAATTTGTTATGAGAACCAGAGAACCTTAGAACCTTAAGGTTGTGTGTCATCACAACCTTAGATTACTTTCAGTGAACTACTTCAAAAGAATGATTACTAATTCACTTGTAATGTCTGCATAATTTTACACCTTGTTTTTATCCATATATTTTGTTCAATGCTATTTATTCATGTTTTCAATTGAGTTGTTTAAATTAGGGATGCACCGAAATGAAAATTCTTGGCCGAAGCCGAATAAAATGAAACACTGGGCTGAATACCGAACACGGTTTTTCGCATTTTCCACCCATGTAGGCCTATTTTGCCTTTTTTTTTTTTTTCACCATTGCATAAATTAAATAGCCAAAATGTGCTTTTTACTGTTTTGTCCTGGTTTTCAAATAAAAAAAATTAATTACAAAACAACAATTTAAAAATATTTACTTCACACTGAACTTTTTTTTTTTTTTAATTCTAGCAGATATTATACCAACAAAGCACAATTTAACTTAAAATTAATAAGTTAGTAAAATAATATTTTTTGGCCATTTTTGAGACGTGAATCAGGCATGTATTTTTTACTGTACAAATAAAAGCAGCCTTGCTGAGCAGAAGAGAATTCTTTTAAAACATTAGAATATATTACAGATCCCAATTTGAACACTATGTGAGAATGTTATAATAAATGTATTAATAGAGCTGTTGTAGAGTAATTATTATTATCATTATTATTGTCTGGAGTTGTTGCTTTTTCTCTGCTTTTATTTTGGCAGAAACCTGCAGGAAGATCTCAGTGCTTTTTTTTTTTTTTGACAACAGCATGCAGATTTATAAATGATTCTCATTACGAATTTGGGAAGATGTTTGTCGCACGTATCGCATTGTCACATGCCTTTAAAAAAAATTCACAAAAATGTTACTGAGCAACTGACGTGTAACAGTGTTTCAGCGCAGATTTTCCTCGCGCTTTGTACTTTGAACCCTGGCGAATACATGCGCTTCGTGAGTGCATTAGAAAATATAACATTCTGCAGTTTATTTACTAATCGTTTGAGGCCATTTCGCGATTTCAATCATCATACAGTAACCTAACCACCAGCATCAGCCACCTCTTCATCTCATCGGAGACATGGGATGCAGCACTAGTCTCTCGCTGTCGGTGCTTCGTGCTTGTACTGATTTCTGCATCTTTCTCTGATAGTTTTAAATACTTTCACACTGCCGACATGTTTGCCGCATTAGTGCGTGCCTCTATTTGATCGCGTTAGTGTTATTCTGCCTTTTTCGCTTATTTCGGTTGCCGAACATTCGGTGCATCCCTAGTTTAAATAAGAGTGTTTTATTAGATATATTAATGTGCTTGTTGTGACCTTAATTGAGATGTTCATTGTTTTAGTCTCAGATAAATACTGCTCTGATTCCAAATATAGATAGATTTATTATTTTTATTAAAGTTACGTAATTATAAATATATTACCCTCTTAAATAGCTTCACTCTTTTTTTTTTTTTTTGCAACTTGTAGTGTTAGGAACAGTGTTTTACATTATGACTGTAGCTTGGCAATCAGTTTCAATGTAGCTTCCCCAGCACTGCTCAGTAGATGACCAGCATCCCGCGTTGGCTTGCAACCAATGCATGGAAATACTCATGCACTGCAATGTATATAACCACAGTCTGTTTCTTTTTATTAGAAACATTGGCTGCACTCACGTCTCACACTAATGGTGCTTTTGGTGTAAACATTTTTCATTTCCCCTCTGATCTGCTGCCATTTCATTTCTCTAACCCTGGGAATGTCTGGCACATCTGTGGTGCTGTTGTTCTTACTTCTCCTTTAGAAATAGCTTATATTGTGAATATTAATGCACATAATCACTGTATATAATTAATAAAAATGAGATGACACCATAAACAGTTGTGTTAGCCGTACTGCAATTTATATGCCCAGCTGCACTGATGGGAATTCTCATGTCTGCTTGATTTTGTCACAAAATGCTTATTAAGAGCATAAAACCTTTGAAATAATGTAAGGTTCTCTTTTAAAATAAGGTAAAGAGTATACAGTGTCTCAGCAAAAACAAGCATCTCCCCAGTTGAGTCCTGTGACCTGTGCATGGTGTCATTTAGGTCAGCACGATAGCTCTAAAAACATCATCACAAATGCTGTCAATCTGTGAATTTAGAGTGAAGGAGCTGACTGTGGATCCCAATGCTGTGACGGAAGGAGTCCGCCCCAATGTCAACTCCATCAACCAGCTGGACATCATGGATGAGGAATGGGAATTGGGCAACTCCCCTCAGAGAGATGACCTCAAACTGCTCTGTGAACAGAATGTAAAACCGCATCTGTTCCTTGTACTTCCTCTGCTTTAAACTGCATGCACGATGATACAGTAATGACACCTACTTCAGAGATACTTTTTAGAAGTGTAATTTGTGGCCAAGTGTTACTGTCTGCATATATAAATTATATTATAAATGTCACTTGATAACATTAATACGTCCTTGCTAAATATTAAGTATTAATTTCTTTAAAAAAAAAGAAAGAAAGAAAGAGAAACGGCAATCGATTTGTCTTCTTTTAGATACTGTGAACCAAACTCCATTAAGACTTGTAGGTGGGATAAAAGCTTGTGTTTGAATATTGACAGGAAGAGGAAGTCTCCCCTCAGCTCTTCACGTTTCACGAGGCAGTGTCTCAGCTGGTGGAGATGGAAGAGCAGGTTCTGGAGGACCACAGGGCTGTGTTTCAGGTATTTATTCCTCTAAGGTCACTTTCATACTAGAGCTTTTTAGTCCAGTTGACGTCAACGTTTGGTTTGTTGTGCTTTTTTTTTTTTTCTGAACTGTTCTTTCATTTGTACTCCGATACGGTTCAGTCCCAAAACTGAAAAAGGGAATTGTTAATGAGGATTTTTACACTATATGTGCTGACAGGAGTCTATCAGGTGGCTTGAGGATGAGAAGGTTCTCCTGGAGATGACTGAGGAGGTGGACTACGACGTGGACTCATACTCTTCTCAGCTTGAGCAGATTCTTGACCAGAAGATTGAGATCCTTTTTGAGCTCAGAGGTAATGCATCCTCTAGAATGTTTTTCCTTTCAGTTTTCCCCTGATGGAATGATTATTAATGGATGTGTGTCTGCTCGTGTTATCAGATAAAGTGAGGTCATTCCGTTCTACTCTCCAAGAGGAGGAACAAGCCAGCAAGCAGATTAACCCCAAGCGGCCCCGTGCGCTGTAGCCTGGAAATGTGCTCACGGGGAAACGACAAACACAAGAGTCCTGTAGGCTTCTTGATAGTATTCAGAAGTATTCTGAAGAAACCTTTCCTACTTTCACATGTGAAATAAAGCGTTGGGTAATTCTCTTACAAATCACTAGAGGATAAAATAAGGCGATTTTATTTATTTACTTTTTCATTGTAGGTTAAGGGTACAGACTTGTATCAGCTGATACTCACATTTTTTTTTTAGTTGTACCACTGAAATCCTTCTTTTCAAGTTGTTCTAAATTGTATGCACAAACACTCTGCAACAGTTTATCACTCCGTTCCTAGCATGGCTGACTGGTTCATCTGCACTTTAAATAACCTTGTTTTTTCGGGGTCCGTTTACCGTACTTGGCACGGTGTATGTTTCTGTTGATTGGCTGATATAGCATTTTACTCTGTATCACCTTGCCATTTCTTGAAGGTATAATAGTTTAAGTTTAAGACATTGTCAAAGAAGCATTAAATGCACTGGGAGACAAATCTTGAGGGTATGTGAATGAATGTGAGAATTGTCAGCAGTTAGTTTTGTTGGTTTATCAATGACCGCTGTCCCTTTTTTACACGATATTCTCTTTGCCGTCTCTCTCATCTGTTTGTCTGTAGAATGCTTTTGTGCCAAATCATGTTTCCTTGTGGAAAGGAAGTTAACAGTCCACCAACTTCGTGTTTTGCTTTTAAAACTTCCCAACATTCTCACATCTCCTATTAAAATTAGTAAAATGTAATAACTTACAGCAAGTTTGTCATAACAAATAGGGAATACCACTTATCCGCTGCTGATGTTTTCAGTGTTGGCACCTCTCAATTCAGTGGTTGCTAAATAAAGAATGATTCAACAAAATTCTCCATTTTTATCCTGTTTCCTGACTTTCTGTTTTGATCCCTGTTTTTAAGAGTACTTAAACTGTGATTTCCTGTCTGAGAAGAGTTTTTAGACTAGAGATTGTGGTAACTTTGTCCAAGAGGGTGAGAATGAAAGTATAAAAAGTTTAAATTTATAAATTAACTTAACTCTTCCAAGGTTATTAAAGTTAACTAAAACCATTAAAAAAATCATTTTATTTTTTAAATATTATTTAAGCTAGTTGACAAGGCAACATTTTTCATTTTCGTTTAGTTTATCTGCATGTACTAAAATAACTAACGCAAAAACATTTATAAAAAATATATAGACAAAACATAAAATTACTTTAACTAAAATTAAAACAAAATATTACAATAGCGAATTCAACAAAAACAAAAAAATATATAGTAGTTTAAAGATCTCGATACTAAAATAAAACTACCCTTCAGACTTGAGAAGTAAAAATACTTTTTCATATTTTGACATCATAGATATACCTTTTTTTTCCAGGACTACTTCAAACAACTTAAAACTGCTGTATTAAAGTCGAACACTGATTTAATACGGATTTAATTTAATACTTGCGCTGTTTGCTAATGATTCCCTTTACAGTGAGCTCTAAGAGAAGAAAAAGGGTGTTTGGGTAAATAAACAAATAGAACAACAACGGCAGTATTATTATCAGCAAAGGTCCTAAACCAAACTGTAGAAATACCGTCACATTTTATTATTAGTAATAATTTAATTTCAAGCTATAGGTTTTGTACACATTGCTGAAACCACACCAGCATTTATTGCAGTAATAACGACTTTTATTATTCCATATTTAAATAACCAGATTAAAACACATCTGATAAATGCAGAAATAAATGTGATTTATATTATTAAATGTATATTTAAAAAAACATATGTATGTTGTATTTTATTATGCTTTGTAGCTGACTTTTATTTTGAAATGCTTACTTCCGGAAGGCGTTGTCGTTGCGTTATTGAAGCGCTTTTCACGCCTCTTCTTGTCATCCACGCCGTTTATCCTGCCGTCGGTTAACCATCCTTCACCTAAGTGTCTTCTCCGTTGCCGTGTGCGTTTCTTCGTTCCGGCATTTCTTTTAATTTATCTATAATTTATTTAAGAATTCAACTTTTGGCATCACACGGGTATCTCCAGTGTAATGCTGCGGAGAAAAGACATTTTCACCACGTAAACGAAGGTACTGTTGATCACAAACCAACTTCATTAATCACGCTGCCTCTAAAATGTGTTTAATATAATTATATACGTTATATCACATTTATCATATGCCTGGCACGTTTGACAGATCGCTATCAAGCTAACGACGTCACTTCTCGGTTTGTTATCAAGTTGACGTCATCCTCCAGATTTTAACGGACTGTTCTAAATCTCTTAAATACACTCAATTGCTAAGTGCGCCATAGAACAACGCAGATCAATACCATAGTTTAAGGGTTTTGTTTTATTAGATCCCAGTGCATCATTCTCTTATGTTTCGGTCCTGTAACTGCCCTATTCTGTAGGGTCAGGTGTATTTTAGGGTGGTGGGCCACCTGAACTGTATTAGTCACACACTGCCTCTAAAATGTCTTTAATATAACTATAATTGTAAGTATATCACATTTATAATATGTTATATTATATGCCTGAAATATTTATATAAAATTGAATATTTAAGGGACTGAAGACCCTATTAAATTACAAAAAATAGCATTCTCTTTGTTTTATAGCTGTGAGATCAACTATATACTTCTGTACTCCTTAAAGTTGACAAAATTAACTTTTTAAGTTGAGGTTGTAGACAGCATAATATTTCAAGAGGCATCAACGTATAAATTAATATGAAGTATATACATTTGTATAAAGTATATATTTGCTTATAATTGTATTAAAATATTTTAAAAGGCGTCAAATAAAGTATAAAACCACCAGTAGAATATGTGCTAATCTTTAATTAAATATTCTGCCTATAATTCTAATTTTAATCATTTTATTTTTTTATTTTAAAATTAAAATTAATTAATTTTAATATCAGCTTATAATTATACATGCACATATTTATATATTACTGCTTATAATTTTATACCGTAAAAATGTTTTAAGAGGCATCTAATAAAGTATAAAAGCACTGGTTGAACATCTGCTAAATATAATGAAATATTCATAGCCTGTAATTTTAATTTTAATAATTTTAAGATTAAAATGTGTTATTTGTCAAATTTAAATGTATCGATATTTATATCAGTTCATATACATGTATACAATTTTATTCAAATAGAATATGTGGCTAATTTTGTTTCTTTGGGAGAAAACAGTTCTCGTCCCATTTGATCTTTAAAATTCTCTGTTGTTCTTGAGCGATACATTTAACTTGTTGATTGTTCCATCCAGACTGTTGTGTAGCTTGACTGTAGTGTATGGAAATCATTTACTAAATAGCAGTTAACTAAGTAACTATTAACCCCACAAAAACATTCTGTTAATTATAAATTCAACTTTTTCAGTAGTGTCAGAGTTGTTCCATGTGTTCGAAAATAATTTATGCATTCTACTGTCTTTGCTCCCATAGATCTAATCCCACAATCTCATTGTGAATTCAACAGTCATCACGCCCACTCAGAGAAACATGAGCTCACACAAGAGACCTGTCCGGGTTCGGCCCGATTCTGACACCAGTTTCTCCATGGCCTGTGACCCGAGCGCACCAGGGGCGGAAGAGGGCCCCGGGCTCTTGACCAAGCTGATGGAGCTTCCCCTAGCCCGTCTGTCCCGACAGCAGCTGAAAAAGCTGGAGGAGCATCAGTACAGCAGTGCGGGACGGTCCCTCCTGGAGCCCTTCATGCAGGGATTCTGGTGCTGGCTGGTGAGCAAAGTGCCTCTCTGGATGGCGCCGAACCTCATCACCATAGTGGGACTCGCTACTAATATTATCAGTACTCTGATACTGGTATACTACTGCCCTACTGCCACCGAACAGGTGAGCTGCACTTTCACTGCTTCAGTAGATTCCATTGCTGGTTTAAACAGATCAACTACAAATCCTAATTCATTTTATTTTCACCTGCTAACAGTGGTATAGAATATTTAGCACTTATTTTAATTATTATTCATTATTTTAATATCCTTTTTAGTCTAGATATTGTGATTTAGCAGCAGTTACAGATCTTGGTCATTTTTGCTGATCAGTTTGAATCTAATTATGAATATTTAGACCGTGATTGCAGTGGTCATTATCAAGACATTTTCTTTTTGTTGATTTTAATATCAGTTTATCTAATTATGAATATTTAATAGCTGCTGCAGTGGCAATTTTTGTTGGTTTTGATATCAGTTCAGTCCACTTATGAATATGTAGTAGCCTAGCTTTTACAGTAGTCACCTTAATAATGCGGCCTTTTTTGTTGATTTTAATCAGTTTGAATGTAATTAGGAATATTTAACAGCTGTTACAGTGGTCACCATTAAGACATTTTGTTGTTGATTTTAATATCAGTTTTAGTTATTTTTAATAGTTATTGCAGTGGTCATCATCATGACATTGTGTTTTTGTTGGTTTCAATATCAGTTCAGTCCACTTATAAATATATAATAGCTTTTATTACAGTAGTTACCACACTTTTGTTGTTGTTGTTGTTGTTGTTGATTTGAATTCGTTTTAATTCAACTGATTTAAGATCAACTTTAATCCCACCAGTAGAACATCTGCTATACTATAATTGAATATTCTTCCAATAATTTCAGTTTTAATAATTTTAAAATGAAAAAATATTAAATTAAAATTAAGTATTATATCAGTTTAGAATTATACATGCATATATTTATAATTTTATTCTGTAAAAATGTTTTAAGAGGTGTCTATTAAAGTATAAAAGCGCTGGTAGAACATCTGCTACATTATAATGAAATATTCATAGCCTGTAATTTTAATTTTAATAATTTTAAGATTAAAATGTGTTATTTGTCAAATTTAAATGTATCGATATTTATATCAGTTCATATACATGTATACAATTTTATTCAAATAGAATATGTGGCTAATTTTGTTTCTTTGGGAGAAAACAGTTCTCGTCCCATTTGATCTTTAAAATTCTCTGTTGTTCTTGAGCGATACATTTAACTTGTTGATTGTTCCATCCAGACTGTTGTGTAGCTTGACTGTAGTGTATGGAAATCATTTACTAAATAGCAGTTAACTAAGTAACTATTAACCCCACAAAAACATTCTGTTAATTATAAATTCAACTTTTTCAGTAGTGTCAGAGTTGTTCCATGTGTTCGAAAATAATTTATGCATTCTACTGTCTTTGCTCCCATAGATCTAATCCCACAATCTCATTGTGAATTCAACAGTCATCACGCCCACTCAGAGAAACATGAGCTCACACAAGAGACCTGTCCGGGTTCGGCCCGATTCTGACACCAGTTTCTCCATGGCCTGTGACCCGAGCGCACCAGGGGCGGAAGAGGGCCCCGGGCTCTTGACCAAGCTGATGGAGCTTCCCCTAGCCCGTCTGTCCCGACAGCAGCTGAAAAAGCTGGAGGAGCATCAGTACAGCAGTGCGGGACGGTCCCTCCTGGAGCCCTTCATGCAGGGATTCTGGTGCTGGCTGGTGAGCAAAGTGCCTCTCTGGATGGCGCCGAACCTCATCACCATAGTGGGACTCGCTACTAATATTATCAGTACTCTGATACTGGTATACTACTGCCCTACTGCCACCGAACAGGTGAGCTGCACTTTCACTGCTTCAGTAGATTCCATTGCTGGTTTAAACAGATCAACTACAAATCCTAATTCATTTTATTTTCACCTGCTAACAGTGGTATAGAATATTTAGCACTTATTTTAATTATTATTCATTATTTTAATATCCTTTTTAGTCTAGATATTGTGATTTAGCAGCAGTTACAGATCTTGGTCATTTTTGCTGATCAGTTTGAATCTAATTATGAATATTTAGACCGTGATTGCAGTGGTCATTATCAAGACATTTTCTTTTTGTTGATTTTAATATCAGTTTATCTAATTATGAATATTTAATAGCTGCTGCAGTGGCAATTTTTGTTGGTTTTGATATCAGTTCAGTCCACTTATGAATATGTAGTAGCCTAGCTTTTACAGTAGTCACCTTAATAATGCGGCCTTTTTTGTTGATTTTAATCAGTTTGAATGTAATTAGGAATATTTAACAGCTGTTACAGTGGTCACCATTAAGACATTTTGTTGTTGATTTTAATATCAGTTTTAGTTATTTTTAATAGTTATTGCAGTGGTCATCATCATGACATTGTGTTTTTGTTGGTTTCAATATCAGTTCAGTCCACTTATAAATATATAATAGCTTTTATTACAGTAGTTACCACACTTTTGTTGTTGTTGTTGTTGTTGTTGATTTGAATTCGTTTTAATTCAACTGATTTAAGATCAACTTTAATCTAATTCTGATTGTTTAGTAGCTATTATTGCAATGGTCACCATTAGGACATAACCTGTTTGATGACTTATAGTCAGTTTTAATTAGATTTTTTATATTTAACAGCTGTTACAGTGGTCACCATTAGAACACTGCCTTTTTGTTGATTTATATATCAGGTTTAGTTTTAGTTCAGTTACATATATAAGTCATTGTTGTAGCAGGAGGCCATGATCTTTTTGTCAATTTTAATATCCATTTCATTCAACTTATGAATATTCACTAGCTATGAAAATAGTCACCATTAGGATGTGGTATTTATTGCTGATTTTAATATCAGTCTAAGTGTAATTATGAATATTTAGTTGTAATTGCAGTAAATTCTTGGTTTTACTTCTTACCCTGCCTCACATATAGTCTATGAATAGGCCTGTCACGATAACAACTTTTTGTTGTG